AGAATCACGTTGTCGAACGGTTGACACAAGATCCTGGATACGATCATCTCCTGTCGAAGTGGGATTTGCAGATTGGGTGCCAGTGAGCGTAAGAGAATCGTTGTTCAGTTGGCCCGTCCGGTTACGCCGATAAGTGTTATCGCGAGCTTTGAGCGTCTTATTGAATTGGAAACCCCTAGCTTGACACATCCTTACCACTGTTTCGTCGTCGTCAAACCGTTGAGCCCTTTTGGTCGTACTACGCGCGGCCACCCGGAACACGTTGCCTTGGAAACGAGGGCGGTGGAAACGAAGTAGAAGGTAGATAGCGGGAAACCGCATCTCCGTCCCACTTCCGTCCGCCCAGACATCCGCAACCCCAATAAATGTGTAGTTCGGGAACGGATCGGTACCAGAGATCCTTTTCTGTTCGGGGTGGTTCTGGATGAAAGAATGGCCCTCTAATCCGAGTTTTCGTACACCCATACATTCCATTCCGCCGGGCGTCATAACGAATATCCTCCTCGGCCTCATCCCACTCGCAGGGACCCATGATAGGAATATCATATCACTTGTCTTGCTTCTAGGTAGGCTGAGATACGGTTCGTCCCATGATGAGTCTCTTTCAATGTCGAATGAAGGGCCTGGTGCTTCGACTCCGAGGAGAGTTGCCCAGTCGTCTGGAAGTTGGTTGGTTCTCACATACTTCCAGATTTTGTTGACCAGCACACTGAACTTATTCTGCAATGTCTCCTTTACTGGCCCGTCGGCTTCCTCAATATCATTCTTTAATTGAAGTATGTCTCGGGAGTAGGTTTTCAAGAGCGTATATTTAATCGTGAATCCTCGGCCATGCTTTTTGCCGAGCTCTTGAGTGATCCTCTCATTAAATTTGTCAAGAGGCTCGTAAGGCTCAATCATGATTTGTTGGGCAGATTTGTTTGGATCGTCCGGCTTGGACAAGTACTCTTTCAAGATTGGGCCTGCTTCACTGTAAAGCCCGGGAAGCTTGGCAAGGAGTCCTTCTTCGGGGCCTGAATCATCGTCTGACATCCTATCATCATCGTCGCTCTCCTCTCCAACACTGTCTTGGTCGATATGCATTCCTTCACCTCCGTTATTTAGCTCGTATTGAGTCTGTCTCATACGCTCTTTGTCGTACGCGATTTTTGTCTCCGGGTTTAGCAGTGTCTGGCCGGCGTTCTCAACGACTACGAATCATTAGAAGTTGCATAGGAGGAAAGAGAAGGTATAAATACATTGTTTCCAGGTTCCTTTCTGATCGGAGTCACATTCGTTCAAAATACGAATGTATCCTTCCCCTTTTTGTTTCAAAGAAGCAATGTCCTCGTCACTCAGTGGCTGTCCAAATGAACTTGGCGTCATCCCGAAAAGTCGGTAGAAATCCGAGTTAGAAGAACCATGTTCTGAGCGGACTAGATCTAAGATCTGCTCAGCCGCATCCTTAGCGGATGTAGAGCTTGGCCCATCCGCCTCATCTGCCTTTCGTTTCAAACTCATATTCACTGATGTTTGTTATTGAATGAAAGGATCACAATCGAGGAATAGTTGAGACCCGGCGGATATTTATAGATGCCTTATTGCATGGAGTAAGATGAAGAGTTCTTTGAATTGAACTAGAAATGGCTCAATTAGAACTTCTGGCAGCTAGAGCCAGAAGTCGACTTTCGTCGATTTGGCCTCGGGCGTATTGGAGCTGTCTGCTTGTGGATCTAGTCCATTCTTCATTGCCTAAGAATCAATTCAGGATGTTGAGTCTCAGGGCGTAGAATGGAGCCTGAGGGGGCTGAGCCCACGCGCGTTTATATACCAGAGGTTCAATGCTCTAGGAGGCGAATCACGTATAAGAGTGCTCCCATAATCCGTATGCAATTCTGATCAACTTTGTGAATCGAAGCACCGAGAACGTAGAATTTCGCCCGTTCAGACCGCTTGACTTGCGACGCATCAATGAATGGAACTTCTGTGACTCAAACCTTACCTATTCAAAGCAAGCCACCCTGTTTCTCTATATCCAGAAACTGGAGTCTTTCACACAATTATACATTGGTATCAGAAGTCACACTACTCCAACAATCTTTGCTTTCGGAAATCTCACGAGGATATGGTCTTCCATCAAGAGTTACAGGCATGACGACAGCTGATCCTAGTATTCCGATAATCTCGAGCACTCTTCAAAACAACAGTTGGCCTAAATACGGACAATCCGACAACGCAACACAGACATACAATTATCCTGGCCCCAAGGCATCCTCGTCGTCGGGATTGGAATCATCGTCAGGTCATATATCTGCAAGACGACTCTTAGTCCTTCTTTCTATATGCAGCCTCGGCACGATGTTCATATAGAAGCTGAATTTCTTCGTATACAAGCCATGAGAACAGCTTCAAGATCTTCGAGTATATACTCGGACGTAGACGCTTTCCATCTTGAAACAGTTCTCCATAACCTGAAGAGTGACCATCAACCAGACGAGGCTCTCACTCTCGAAAGGCTTCTTGAGGAGAACGAAAGACTTGAGCGGCAAGTACAACAATTGTGTAAGGTCTGGGCCATCATTTATGAAGTTTTAATGGAAATCAATGACAGCATTATGTATCTGAAAAGAGTTCTTGAAGAGGGCATGTTACGCATGGACAAGGAGCGAAGCAAGTGGTTGGCAAACTGCACCGCAATATGAACAAGGGATGGCGTAATTATTGTCCACTATCAGATTGAGCATAAAAACTATTTCTTTCCTTGGCTAGGTATCCACTTTATAGACAACTGGAACAGTTGAAAGTCTTTTCACTACATTACTGCGTATTTATAACGTCTCCTCTACAGCATTAAGATCTGCTAAGAGAGATGACAAACAGACCACCTACTCTGAGCACTGGTCCTGAATAACTATTTGTTCGAAACCTTCCTTCCTCCTGAGTTGACCTCTGTCATCTTGAACCTAAGCGTATTGTAGCGTTGATGTTTTCCAAATCTCGTATGTATGATGGTCATTAAGCAGTTGCGTGAAGAGTTGTTGACGGTGGGCAATCTTGAAAGTCTTCCGCTTTAGAATTCAGTGAATGGCCACTATGTACTGTATTAATTAAAGAATTGAGATCAATTAGTGGTCTTCTTCGGTATTGTGAGACGTAGAGAAGATACGAGTAGGCCAGAGCCATGAAAAGAGCGTGTGGACTCAAAAAGGAGAACAGAATTCGGAAACGAGAGCCAATTTCGAGTGTGTANGAACTTCAATAACGTAAACACTAAATAGCTTTCAAACCCCCATATCTCACACATTAGTGTCTCAAGCATGTTGTGTTGAGACCCAGTCCATGATTGCTCACACAAGTCTGGTGCACCCATGAAGTTATCTAACATATTTGCACTTGCGTTTGGCCAGATCCTGGGGGAGCTTTGGGTTAATCAAGGAGATCCAGATGCGGTTAAGCCCTCGTCACAACATCATCAGGAAAGCTCATCCGTTGGCGAAACAAATGAAGAAATCAATGTTGGTGAAGCAAGTCCATCGGATAAGCAACCAGCAAAAAGGCATAGAGGTCATATATCCACAGCCCAAGATTTGTCCCCTGGTAGACGAAAAGCCCTCAGACAGTATCCGAGAAAACTACGAAACCACCCAAGTCGACGTCGGACGGGGTGCCAAGGATCTAGAAGGCTACTTGTCAGCGCTAGAAAAAGAAGAGTGAACCTTGTATCAATTGCTTCGCCACGGTTTCGTGGTAAAGTGCTTCGAGAAATACTCTTAGATCCAGTCCAACCGATGGTACTCAGATTAGACACGACTGCGAGAATACGCAGAGCGAACACGTACCGTACCCACTCAGGCCGTCGGAGCAAGCCGACATGGAAAGTGATTGACAGCCAGAGAACGGAACTGCTACTACAACTTCTGAATGGTCTGTCTGGAAATAAATGCACACAAGACGCATGGGACAAAAATGTGAAAAAGCACTAGTTATTTCAATCAGGGAATGGGAAATGAAGATTCGTGATGGAGATTGTCTTGATCTTGTATTATGACTATTTTTTATTAATTAATTAATTATTTCTTGACTCCTATATTTGTCTTATCAAAAGCATCTCGTTTTGGATGTGCTTTCTATAATAAGCTTTAGAGAGGATGTAGGTACTGCTGTCGATGCTTAGAGCCCACATCAGTCTCACGAGGCTATACCACAGCCTGTACTGAACAAGGCGATTGACAAGGGGCCGTGAGCGAAGTCCCAAGTATGGTCGTCAAGGCTTTGTAGGGCTCAGCTTTGTGTGAAATAGATGCTTAAATGGCAATGAGGTAATGACTGTCTACGTAGCTTGGAATCCCAATTTCTTCCAAGCCCCCGCAGTAGCCACAATTAAAGATTCTGTTTTCACGTTTTTCCGCAGTCAATGTGTTGACGGTACAAGTTCTTCCAGTAATTGAATGACCTTCCTAGCAAGGGATGTGGTAGACCGTTGAGTCTTTGTCAATGGTAAAGTTGTTTCATTCGCGACGGGCCAAGAGTCGAGTTCGAGCTGGACAGATTGGACAGCAATCTCGTGACTATCAAGGGCTTCATGCACGGACTGCATCGAGTCAAGCAATTCGAATTCGCAGTCTGCTAGAGAAGAAGACTCATGGTTTTGTGGTTCTGGTGCATATTTTTAGGAACGATACACTCCCGTTGGAAGCATTCAATAGATCCAAGGAACACCATACCTGTAGCCGAGTGAGGCGTTTCGTTGTTGAGTGAGATAATAGTCTTCTGTTTCAGTCGTTGCGAAGTTCGTCTAGGTTGAATAGGGTCGTATGCCTCGCTTGTGTCGGCCTGCTCGAGTGCTCGTCGTCGCCTCTTCATTTTGCTCGAGCTTTGCGTTCCCCGCGAGCGTTTTTTGCGACTCACATGGTACGAACCATCGGAATCGAGGTTTCCAAACTACACATGAGTGTTAGCCGCCAGCTCAAATGAAGAGCTCGCCCACACACCACTTCATTGAGGTCTGGAATGGCCTGGTGTTTCGGGACGAACATGGCCGCCTCCATTCTCTTATGGGTTGGATCCCAGTACGCCACCGCAGTGAATATTTCGCAATGCTCGCCTAGTTCCAGACCTTTGTTCTTGAGTGAAGCACCCCTTTTTCGAGCTTTGTCTTTTTGCTGCTTGTTATGGTGAAGCCCGTCCATTTTGTGAGACGTCGAATTACTCGAGCAGGCAAACGTGGTTCGTTGTGTATGTAATGGATACCTGATTATGCTACAATCTTCCAATATAGAAATCCGAT